ATATATATATATATATATATATATTATTGCCGGCGTTAACCCCCTTTTGCAAAAGTTTTGGCGCATGTCCGACAATCAGCAGAGCCGTCGTTTATGCCGTTGTTTATTATATAACTTGACCCCCCTTTCGCTGAAAATGTCATCAGTACCCTATTCCCCACCGCTCCCTCTGCCCCACTGTCATCCATGCTGCTGTTTCTCCGGCTCTATGGAAGGTAGTCCTTTTTAGGCTTTCCCACAACGGTGTACTGGTGCAGAGCAGTCCATCAATCAATCGACTTAACAGCTATAAACCGTGTACCATTGGTTCCACTTGCTACAGTTTCGATCATCGGGAAGTGGGAGAGTGCGGGACAAGCACTGAAGGCGATGGTATGTTTATTTAGTTCGGGAGCCACACATTTAAGACGATAGCTTTGATGAATGAGCGTGACTGACTACACAATTGGGCCATTTCTACCAGGGTCACTAACCACTGGTGAGTTAAGTCCTGAGGTCTCCATTCAGGGAGACGGCAGTTGCTGACCCGACTCAGTTAACCGGTTAGTGTTTTCATATTTCATCCCAAGGTCGTACACTGTCTATGTCTTGGCCGCTTCCAGTCATCACAGGGTCGGGTGAAAGGAGCACTGCGGAACAGATGGTCTTCTGACATGCGGGGTTCATGTTAACCAGCGTAATCTATGAAGTATGAGTAATTCATCTATTGCGGGAGAGATTAGTCCTCCTAGGACCATCTGGCGTGCATCAGCACTACTAATCCGGTGTTCCTACGACATCCAACTGTTGCTTTAGAGACAACGATGGTCAAACACTGTTATCTTTCGTGTGTCCTCTGCGCATAGAGGCCACGTCTCCGATTTATAAAGCAGTATGAATCGCACTGCCGCATTGCAAACTCTGCCCTTGACAGACAAAATGACGTCACGTCAGCACTGTAGCTCCGCAAAAGCCACCCTGGCTCCCCCGGTTCGAGGGGTAATCTCAGCTTCAGCCAGTCTAACGGAACTTATACAACTACCCAGGTAACAAATTTATCAGCCACCCTGGCTCCCCCGGTCCGAGGGGTAATCTCAGCTTCAGCCAGTCTAACGGAACTTATACAACTACCCAGGTAAACAAATTTATCTGCCATGTTGACTGACTCACCTGCAAGCCAAACCGTGGGGCAGAAAATTTAAGATTACTTAAGATGGTTTGCATTTTTTATGGATCTGAACTGAGGAGGGCAGTATACTCCGCATACTCAGAGGCAAGCAGAGAAATTTCGTGCACCACATCAAGAACAAATTTGAAGAGCAAAAGTGATTGAGAACAGCCTTGTCTTACACCACTGCATGTGATATAGTCAGGCGAAACCTCGCGTTACACTAGTGTGCCTCCACAGGAGATCGCAAAGAGTCGCCTCATAAGGGATATAAACGTGGAAGGCGCAAATTTGATCGCTAGACACTGTCAAAGTTTCTGACGATCAGCAGAATCAAAAGCAGTTTTCAGATCGAGAAAATCAACCAGTGTGGGCCTTCTACTGGACCGGCACTATTCACGAATTTGCCTCAAAGTAAAGATATGGGCTATACATCCTCGGCCAGGGCGAAACCCAGCTTGATTCTCACGAACCTGTCTCTACTGACAATCAAGCAAACTACGCAGAACGATGCCAGAGATTACCCTAGACGGGATGGATGCCAGGCTGATGCCACGATAGTTTTCGCATGAAGTTCTTGTGCCCTTTTTGAAGAGTGGGATGGCGACCGAGGAGCTCCGTTCGAGTGGTATTTTGTTTTCGTTCCAAACCTTCTGTAGTATGACAAAAATCGTTCAGCTTTAACACCATTTCGGTGCCTAAATGCCATGCCACCCAAAGGTTCAGGATCCATTCCGAGTTCACGAAGCTCAGCTGCTTCGTCATCTTCATCGCCGTCCAACTTTAATTCCACAACCTCGTCCAGATCAATCACTTGATCACGACCCATCGGCCCACCCTCTTCGGCTTCGGCTTCCAATCGACGGCGGCGGATAGCCTGAAATAGTAAAGCTACCTCAGTTTGCAGTTAAACAGAGACTAAACAGCTGAGAACTTAAGAATGCATATGAGTAATGTTGTTATAATTTGCCTTATGTGAGGAAGAAGAGACCATTATGTGCGACTGACCTTTGCTGCATCTGAATTAGGACCGGTGACTGAGAGGGAGTTAGTTCTGTCTAGTAGGAGAACAAAACATGCATCCTATAGGTCAATTACCTCACGAATATGCTAGATGGATTAACACACAATTCCCATCTAACTGTTAGAGTTTGCATGCGAGCATTCGTAATGTCAACCGTTGTAACATTTATGGTAGCAGCTAACAGCGCGTAAACCCAAAGTACAGACGATTTGCCAAGTTGTAACAATTTATAAGGAAAACATACTGCACATTTGGTTTCCTGAGTCGGCCGTTCTTCAGCTGGTCGCGGACTAAATGGAGGTTGTGAAAATCCAACAGCAGTAGCCTCTAGTCACAAAGACCTTTCTTGGTGAAGGGATGTATTATGCGAACACCCAAATTTGGGACAAACTATGCTCAGACTGAAGAACTGACTGTATTGCAACCCCTGAGAGGAACTGCGTCGAAGTGTAGTGGCCCTAATTAGGAAATTTCCGACAGGTAGGCGCAATATCGAGCGTGCAATACGTCATAGTTGACTGGCCAACTGGACTGCTTGTGCCTTCGCATACTGAGCGACAATGACCGTGTTGTACGGGGTTTACGGATATTAGCGAAACACATCCGTTTGCAAACTAAGTTGGTGATAACGGATAATCCGAAGGAATCCCTCGTTGATGATGTCTTTCAAATCAATAGTTTGCACAAAGGCCGTCTCATGTTCCAGCTGGTGCGATATTCGAGATATCGCAGTATAATTCCTTGACAGCACACACTACTCGTGTGGTTGCTGGCCACACACTTCCGGTTCCATCCTCCATCGGATTCAACAGGTTGATGCGATACAGGGTTCCTATCGACCTTACGTTCCATTTGAACCCAAATTGTACACTACTGGGGAAATACGCGAAACTACAACCTTATGAATCAAGTGTTCAACCAGGAAAATTTGCAGCCTAACACGTTCGAAGCATACGGATAAACCGGGTAGGCCTGGGAGACAACTCACAAAAAGCGTCTGGCCACAACAATTGCGTGGCACGTGAATGCGGAGGTGAATAATAAAGAGACCGTCAACCTCACAATCCGGAAGAGCAGATGTGATTGAAATTGATAATTATGTGTGTTCTTCTGCAGTGCAACTAAAAAATAATTCCAAAGTTGTTTATCTCAACTAATCCTCAATCGCCAAAAGATATGGGAATAATGCAAGCGTCAAGCGGACATTAGGATCACCGGTCACATCGACCTGGTTAGTGGTTACTTCACTTTCAGATCAGCCTGAAGGGAATTCGTACCCCTGATAAGGACGAGGGTGGTAACAAGTCTAACTAGTTTGACCTTTAGGGTTCCGATAAGCAAAAGTGGGTTGTAATTGAAATACTCCCATGAAGACCCTTGTTCGTTATTTTTGCAGAAAAAATATCAATATCAGAAGCTTTAAAAAGCCTGGAAAGGACCAAAAATCAGTGTTCAATTCGGTATTGCCTTTTGGATACATGGTAAACAAAATCGCCCAGCTGCCATGCCACACGAAGGTTGCACGAGGGCTGCGATGCTGCCAGCTTGCCCAAGCCTAAACAGGGGAAGTCGAGAGGCAGAGGTCGGCTTCGAACCACAGACCTTCTGGTCAGTAAATTCGCGCTCTAACCAATTCGTTTCAGCTAGTGAGATAATGATATTACTCACGGCCAAAGAACATAAAGAACTAACCTCATGACCATCATCTTCGTTCCATTCGTCACGTGCCCGAGAACTCTTCCAAGCACTCAGGTTGCCACCCTCCCTTTCAGCGCCTTCCTCATCCTCATCTGCCGTCCCAGGTCCTTCGGCCCCTGCTCTACCGGCGGTTTGCTGCTGACGCGCTAATGCTGTCAGAGCAAAACTACGGATAAGCCTAAAACGTTGAAAATGGAAATGGGAATAGAAGGTCAGGTAGAACGCAAGTTACGAACTGGAAGTTGGGCAACAGATGAAGCACAGTCATTGGATACGAAACAAACGGTGTAGAACCAAACAAATATGATGACGAGATTGTTATTGGGCCGATGCTTGGGATAAGATAACGAAATAAAAATAGGAAAAGCTCACGTGGTTTTCCCCTGATCCTTTAGCTCTCGATCTAGTCGTTTAGCCAAATCAGGGAACAAAATCCGTTCAAGGAAGCGTAGGACGCGCGAGGGTCGCACGTGACTACGCTCTGAGTAGGCCGACGCAGGCTGTAACCGGATCTCCAGAGTGCACGAATCGGATGCATAGTCCACCGTTTCCCCAATAGGAAAGTGTATCGCCTAGATAGGAGAAATGGAAGAGAATGGGAAGGAGCAACAATGAGAGCAGCTTGCGTGAGTCTGGATGCAGGCCACTCAGTATCAGCTATCGGTGCTAAGATGAGTGTATTAATCGTTCAGCTGTGACACCCTTTCAGCGTCTAGCTACCATAACACCCGAAAGAAGCACGTGGATTGAGGTACTGCCAGGTTGCCCAGGAGCAGTCGGGCTCCAGCCACGAACCCCTCGGCCTTACCTTGTGTTCTGTGTGCTTCGGGCTATGTATGCACTAATCTACCATTACTCATTAGCTTCAACCACAACCCTAAGTACAGGCGAATAACAAGAAGGGAGCATCGGTTAGTTGGAACGAGCTCTGAACCAATCAAGACTTCGTACTTGCGATTGTTTGCCGGAAAAACCAGGTGGGCGGAGCCATAGGAACTCGCTGATTGCATTGCCTACTCTCAAGTGGGCAGTTAGGATTAGTTTTGGTTCCCAGCTCACTAGCATCGAGATCAGTTCCATCTCAAAATTAAAATAAACTTTAACAGACCGGACAGTAGAGCGCAACCGATTTCGAGTTCGCGATGAAGCACCTCCCACTAGTGAAAACCATAAAAGACGATGTGCAGTACTCCAACGCTATTGTTGTCGTAGGCTCCCAGCAGAGCTCTCTCCCACTACTCTGTCGATGAGAAATCATGTGACCTTAGTGCTCTAGAGCTGAAGAAAAGAGACCCAACCGTCATCATCGAGCGGTTTACGCAAATTTGTAAGTCAGATTAGCTGAAACCTTCAACAAACTGAGGTAAACAGATGAATCACTCCACAGTTGAATGAACTAAGCTTCAATTTAATCATTGTTTCTAAGTGCAGTTTCCGAATGAAAAAACGAGCGAACTCTTATCCGTACATCTTGGTCACACTAGAAGAAATCAAATAGTGATGGCCTGGAATACCTGTTCGCATTAGATACCTCACAAGGTTTCACAAAAAGGCGAGCACAGAACCAATGATGTTCCAACCGCGCGCGTAACGTTAGTCAAAGACACCAGTGACTGCTAATCTCAGTATGCCTCAGATAGGGCTTATTACTTCGTTTAGCCCAAATTGTGAATGAGCGGTTTACGTGAACATAGTACATACAGGGGAAAATGTTGGTAGTTCAGTTCGCGTAAATGGTCATTGGCTTGTTAGCTGAGATGGGTAATTTGATCATGGTACACTCAAAAAGGGCAGTACCTAGGACTAGGAACTAACCGGTTCCCTATTGTTTACCGAAAGGTGCTGTACCAGGTGAACTACTGAGGAGATTAACTCACGCCATATCCTGGCATATAAACCTCACAGGCAAATCGCAACAACTCTATCCAACAGAATACCAGCTAAAAACAGTCTGCGCCATTCGAGAGCCAATTGCATGACTTCCAGTATCCCGGACTTTGGCATCGTCCACATACCTAGACTTAGGCGGAAGTTGTAGTAAAGCGCCCGTTCGGTAAGCGAGAGAATGCCGGTTCAAGCAGTCTTTGGTCTTTGTTCTTTGACTCGCCACCTAATTCATACACACCGAGTTCTTATCTGCAGTGTTCCACGCCAATGATTTCTTTCGCGGCTACTGGTTGAATAACAGTAGTGCATATTCAGTCTAAAAAAATTACACCATAATTGTTGCGTTCTATCGTGCCGTTATTTGCGCTTCTGTATCACAATACAGTGTAAAGACGATGATCCAGACGTGGCACTTTCTCAGTGCATAGCCGCTGTGTAACTCGAAGGATGCATGAGGGTTGAGGTAATGACAGGTAGAGTGCGGACCCTCCGGTCGGTGGTACTAACTGGCAATGTTTTGGAATGTAGGTAGCTCGGGTGCGCTGCTTGGTTGTTGGTCTGCTCGGCTAACAGACCTACAACCAAGGTGGTACTAACTTCCGGGTTGTCTCGAGTCCTTTCTCTGTATCACATGACTTCTCATTTTCATCTGCTGTCGGATCATATCGACTAGCTTATCAACCTATGTCCATACAGATAACACGAACCGGGTATCCTTCCGACCTTAACTGCCTACCCAGATTAGTAATGTTACTCTCAAGCCCAGAACTGTATGCTTTGAGCGGTACCTTACCATCGATATCATTTACAAGGAAGGCTTCTGCGGTAAAGACCAAGCTTTATGGACGCCAGAAGTGGGATCTGTCTCAGTGTGCTCTCCATACAGGTGAAGAGTTGCTGCGCCTTATTTGTGTTCGTATCCCCATTCTAGTTAACTGATTACAACCAAATAAATGCAGTGACACTTCTACGTTCTCATCACGTGATTATGTCGACCTACCCACCAGAGCTCAGAAATGAGAGTAATCCCCTTACAAAAAGCAGTTTATTCGAGAGCCGTCTGTGGCTTTTGTTTCCAATATTCCATTTCTATCAGTAGAACATCGGAAAGTGAGTACTGTGAACCCACGAGTTTATGGTTAATTCACCTGGAACTATAAGAAACGGTCGGAAACATTGTCGTTTCTGTGCGCAAACTACTTGACGGTCTTATGAAACTTGTGATCTGATAATATCTAACGAAACCTGAGTGATTTATCATCGTCTCTGCCGCAACGAATATCAACTTGCTTTCCAATGAAACAAAACCTGTGTATACACCTCTCTTAAGATTGTTGGAAACGCTTCGGCAGCCTTATGAGTAGTGTATCGCGATGTCTCGAATAGTGTGTCAGCTGAAACCAGACGTTTGTAGAACATGTACCTTAACAAACCTTTATTTCGAATGAGCTTTCATGCTCGTATGGAGTGGCTCACCTGTATTTAGTCCTCAACTGTGGCAGGCGGTATGCGGTAGCAGCCTAATTCCGACCCAACTTTTCGAAAGGCGATATAAACCGGGTCAATGCAGCGGCAGATCCCAAGCTATCGATGAAGCTCAAAAGTGCGCGTGAGAAGCCAATCTTGGTGGATTGTTAAGATGGAATCAATCTACAGACTTAACCACCAAGATAGCTGTTCTCTTTGACACATTTTTCGTTCCAATTTGCAGTTCATGCATGTTTGGATAAAGGTTATAAGTGTGTCCTCGAACAGAAACTGGGCGGTGCTGGAAGGACTAGTCGTAACTGACTCTCAAATAACTGCACGAAATGTTAAAAATACCATAAACTTGCGATTCATCAGGGCTACGGAGTCTCCGAAAAGCAGTGCAACTTCCGCTCTCCCAGCGACAACAGTAGCAAATGGACGAATCAGGCTAATCAACAGACTAATTATATTTATGCTAGAAGATGGAAATTGAGGTCTATTTTGTATTCAACATCCGAAGTCCTCATGAATACCATGTAGGGGCTGTCCACCCATCTGAATTTCATTTTCACCTGGAACTATAAGAAACGGTCGGAAACATTGTCGTTTCTGTGCGCAAACTACCTTGATGGTCTATGAAACTTGTGATCTGATAATATCTAACGAAACCTGAGTGATTTATCATCGTCTCTGTCGCAACGAATATCAACTTGCTTTCCAATGAAACAAAACCTGTGTATACACCTCTCTTAAGATTGTTGGAAACGCTTCGGCAGCCTTATGAGTAGTGTATCGCGATGTCTCGAATAGTGTGTCAGCTGAAACCAGACGTTTGTAGAACATGTACCTTAACAAACCTTTATTTCGAATGAGCTTTCATGCTCGTATGGAGTGGCTCACCTGTATTTAGTCCTCAACTGTGGCAGGCGGTATGCGGTAGCAGCCTAATTCCGACCCAACTTTTCGAAAGGCGATATAAACCGGGTCAATGCAGCGGCAGATCCCAAGCTATCGATGAAGCTCAAAAGTGCGCGTGAGAAGCCAATCTTGGTGGATTGTTAAGATGGAATCAATCTACAGACTTAACCACCAAGATAGCTGTTCTCTTTGACACATTTTTCGTTCCAATTTGCAGTTCATGCATGTTTGGATAAAGGTTATAAGTGTGTCCTCGAACAGAAACTGGGCGGTGCTGGAAGGACTAGTCGTAACTGACTCTCAAATAACTGCACGAAATGTTAAAAATACCATAAACTTGCGATTCATCAGGGCTACGGAGTCTCCGAAAAGCAGTGCAACTTCCGCTCTCCCAGCGACAACAGTAGCAAATGGACGAATCAGGCTAATCAACAGACTAATTATATTTATGCTAGAAGATGGAAATTGAGGTCTATTTTGTATTCAACATCCGAAGTCCTCATGAATACCATGTAGGGGCTGTCCACCCATCTGAATTTCATTTCCCCCAGCTCCGACTTGAGACATCTCAAAGCCCGGAAAAGACTGTTTAAAGGCGCTAGCACAGCGGCGCAACTGAGAGAAATGATTACGAAGAGTTGTACGGCAGCCACTAGCTGACCCGGTTCCATGTTACAGTGGAGGAAGGACTGGAATACTGCCGAAACGGTCCGGCTACCGGTAGGAGACACTACCGAACCTTAAGGAACATAGAGCCTGCTCTATCACGTACGACAGGAATAGGCGTTGACCCAGTGACACACGTTGAGAGGGAGTGGGAATTTCCGCCGATTATATGCTCCTTTTCCGGGGTTGACAAACCAGTACCATTTTCCCCATGCAACAGTGCAGGAAACTCATTCCAGATCAGGCCAACGAACTCCATTTCTAGGGTCATCGTGGTTAATCTCATTTTGAGCTGACAATCAACATTCGTCAGACGTGTTCTGAACAGCACTTGGATTTTCCCGCTTGTGGTGCAAATGACCAGTCACTTTTTTCAATTGCGGGTAAATAACATAGATTGCGTTTTTCTCACATTCGGATCAATGTTTTACTCATTGTTCTACTCATTGTTCTTATTGCATGTCTACCAACTCCTTCTTGTAGTCCCGAGAGGTTATGTTTAACGGAAGAAACGTGCATCTCAAGGTCAAACCCATGATTCCTAGTGTCCTGTACGGGATTGCTATAAGATAGCAATTTGACACTACTGATTTTACTGTCTGGCACAAAAAAACATTACCCTTTATAGGCCTTAGTTAACAAAGGGGTTCCAATCCATAAAAATCACGAGATTTGGACAGTAGAGGGTTAGTAATACAACGCCAATCGTGTGACAAATACAGAGACCATTCCTAACTACACATCCATCCCTTTGCCCATTTTCATTGCAGTCGAACCACTGGACTCATCCAAGTACACGGGGGTTCTATCCTGCTTTAAAATAGACAGCCTTCGAAGAACATACTAACCGGGCTAATCACGCCAAAATAGTCGAAAATCCTTGTATAATCGATACGCACTTAGCCACCATGTGTAACTCTACAGGCTTGAGGCATGGCCTTTGCGAGTTAAAGGTGTACAGAGTTCGGAATCTTTTTTTCACTGATACATAAGATGTATACTTCAAGTATCCTTGAGAAATAGGTCTTCATACGAAAAGATTCAGAGACGTTATCACGACATCTCAAATCTATCATCCGTCATCCAGCGATACCGGCTATAATGGTCTGGTCACATACCCCAAAAGCAAAACATGCGAACAAGTGAAATACTTGTCATCGTCATGTTTTTTCAATCACCGACAATAGATAAACCGACGTTCCGGTCCGGAAGCCGCGTGCCTGTGAGAGCATATCACCCTGGGCACCGAAACCGGAGGGTTGGAGTTGCCCTTAAGAGAAGCGGTCAGGTGAATAATAGTGTCCGAATGGGATCACCGATATGGAAACGACATGTCAATCACCTACGGCCAACTGAGTGCTCTATTCCAAAAGCGGGAGAGCAATTACCAGGGCTCAACCTGTTACTCGGACCCTTCGATTTCTCGGGGCCAACCCCAATAGCCACTTCTTCACATGTGCTGCCCAAGACAGATCCATTGCCGCAACCGATAGGCTACGCCGATCCCGTCAGAAAACAGAAGGAATCCTTCTAATTTGACCAGCGCCGACAACCCTACGTTGCGCAGCCAGAAGTGGGCGGCTGAAGGAAGGTAAGATTTTGGCAAATAATTTTGAAATACCAGAAACCAACTGAGACATTCAAGCTCCACCAAAAAACTTCAGTAGGGAAGCCAGCAAACATCCAAGCCAGTCAATCACTCATTCGAATCAGCAACAGTCTGGATGAATGAAATGTGCAATTTGAAAAATACTCCTGGGTCCCTCGTGACTGCTGCATTCCTCTTTGTAAGAATAAAGCTGTTGTGTTACTTGTTGGCGAGTAGTTTTCGGACACCAAATGCTGCAGAGACAGCAGTTGGGTATAACAGCAACCTAATTTGACCTGAGCGACGATGCAAGTTCAAGTTGAGTTATCCGGACCTACGTGAAGGAGGGAGGCCTTCGAAAATTTGTTGAACGCCGCTTCGTCGAAAGCCACTATCACCATTCATGTTTGAGTCAGTTTGGACGCTGGTTGATTTGCTGCAGTTCTGGGAGACAACTTAACTGCTTGAACTGTGTAATGAAGTTACCGAAAATTTCTCACAGTATTTGGTGATAATTTGGAGTTTACAGACTGTAAGGGGTGTATCAATTGATTAATATTGATTTCGCCTATACTGAGCGTTTCCAAATCGTAACTTGATAACGTAATTAGAGTTGGGATGGTGCCGCGTGTGAACCCCATCGCTAACGATACCCAGCAATGGGATGAGTTGGATGTCAGTTTGTTCACAGGGCTTGGAAATTTGATCACAATCTGGTTGCAATTTGATCCAAACAACATGTCCAGCTCATCAAACTGACTAACGGTCATCGACGCTACCTGAGCTACCAACAGCAAACTTGGTTATTCTCACTCGGTTCATTGGTACTGACCGTACCCGCGATGACTGAGATAAACAAACCACTCATAATGAATGTCAGATGTTGCTTTAACATGGAAAGTGAATGCGTTTAGTTTGAAATCGGGAGCCTACTAAAACTGGATAGAAGGCTTTTGCCTCTTGTCTTTCTTCCCTTCGTATCCATGTCCTAGATCGACAAAACGTCCCTCATATATATTTTTCGGTTTTCTCCCTCAGGTTTTCATCGGACTCACAGAAGCAGGAAATACCTGTAGAGTTAGTCGTCGCTTGGAATGACCGCCAACCCTTTGTTGCATACACATAAGCTGTGCGATAGGATGCATATCGCACAAGCGACGGCTGACATCTCCTATTTATAGCTCCGGTATTGGTAAGATCATTAATGTTCTGTGTCATTAGATCTGTCAGATCGAACGCTGTTGGTGTTGATTCAGGATATTTATTCGAATGTGAGGTGAAAGGCTTTGTGAATTGACACATGTCCACTACCGATTTTCCAATTGGCGATTAGGATGGTCACTGTGTGTATGTGCAGGCCAAAACAATCGCAGTCCCGGCCTCAAAGACCAATCCTAGGAGAGACGTGAAATCTCAGAGCGTCCAGAAGTAGTCGTCAGATTTAAGCTTAAGCGTCAGGTTCCTATGAAAGGTAATCACAAAAGTGCCGTTCAGATGGGTACGGGCAGTCCGTATTGTGCAGAAGTTGTAACCTTGCATACGGCGAAAGATTTGCAGCCGAATTTCTCGGCCTAAAGAATGGATTAATGGCGTTAACGACAACCGGTGCATCGGTGGTTTATGGAGTCTGGAAAATAACTGATTTTGTCCTTCCGTCTACAACCAAAGGGTCCTAGGTGATTTGAACAATTCGCATACTTTACATTGAAATTCTCCAATCCAACGAAATTCACTGGATTTCCGTAGTGTCTGTCCGATTTTCACAAGTTCACATCGCAAATTCGTGTTCTGGCGACATAATTTAACATGATTTCTGTGTTTGACTACTTAGCGTGGCTATTCCTCAGTACTAAGCGTAACGAGGTAGCTTCACAAGAATAGGGGACTTCATTAGGTTTGGCAACCCAAGTTGGTGCCAAAAATGGAGTTTATTTATACTTTATGCAACGGCAAATTCGGCCCTCCGTGTATGTGTTTCTATTTTGTAATTCCCGATAGGATCATTATCTTTCCCACCTAAACTCCAGGCGTATACCATCAGATCAAACGGAGTTGGTTCATGTGTTCATACAAACATGAGTAAATTTATGGGGTTCGTATTAGCCAGTTTGTTGCAGACGAATTTAGTGGTTTGTGCAGTGGGGAANTGGTGAACCGGGCATGCAGTCGCGTGACAAACTAACAACGATAAAAACACAAGAATAGTAATTAAGGGCGGTACTTCAAACGTCATTCTAAAATGTACACCTTGGCAGAATGATCAAGTTGGCAGGTACGGTTCAGGCCCGTGACGAATTAACACCAGCGGTACACACCGGTGGAAGACCATCACAACTACTCATTATCCGCATACGCCAAAACCTCAAGGTCCGAAGCATATCCAAAATAAACCAACACTGCTATCTTCATTATCAAATGACGGGCAATCCCATCACTGCAATCGATGATAAGGACCATTAGCGTGCACTGAACCTACCCATATATCCAAACGCGACACAACCTGGAGCTTCGATACAGTAACAAATGTGGAATACAATGATTTAATCATATGGTTATGAGCAGCGGATAGTGTACTTTCTATCACCAAGTAACTTGTTTAGGATGGTCCTCCTCTCGTCCTGGAGCGATTATTCTGGTTGACCCAAATCAAAGCGGGGAAGCAATGGAGTAGAGTTTTGCTCTAATTGGAACAAATCAGTGGTACACATCATTGACCGTGCCGAGGTTTGAAATCCGGCGTGCGAGAAGAGTGTGGTACCGCTACCGTATCAACACACTCTGGACAAGCAAGAACCATCACGTCTGAAAAGTTGGACGTGTTCGTGCTCCAGAGATGTGTAATAAGTCCGCGCCTTGAAAAAACAACCTAGTTACTGACCACGTAGTGTCAAGAGATTGGCCCGCCTACCAGGACTTCGCGCATGTGCCGAAACCCCGACATATGAATTCACGTTACCCTTAGATAGTTGCAGGATTCGCGGACTTTATATCCAACTCTCGTTAGAGCAGTCTCTCTTCTGTCTAAGCGTGAGCGTTCTGATTAGTTGACATCACAAACGGAACTCCAGTCCAACGCGATGTCTTTTTGGTGCGAGTTGACCAGAGTAATCAACAGAGGACGACAGCAAGACTGTTCATCAAACGAATATGATGTAGAAACAAACTCCAAAGTGTGTGTGGTTGACTTGCGAAAAATACCGCCCATGGAAGTGACTGATCGAGTTCCCGTGAGACTTGGGGTATGGAATGAGTCGACTGCAGTACGTACTACTGTAATCAAGAAAGACCTGGCGCAACCCGGAAATTTTAGACTATTAAAGAGCATGGACAGGTTTACGAAAAAACGCCACAAAATAAAGACTAATAAAATGGGAAAATATGGACGTACTGTCCTACGACTTTCTAATTCGAATTCTTCGTCCTCCTCATCTACTTTAGCTTCGTTATCCGGTACTAATTCTTGCTCGTCTTGATCGTCCACCTCCACAGCAGCTTGCAACGAAGCGTCCCAAGTGGTTGGATCCATAGTCTTTGTCTCAGTTTCCCTTCTTTCCATACAACTTTTATCAGTGCCCGTTTTATTCCCATCAACATCCCACTGATCATCCTCGTCCTTGTCCGAGTTACCATCATCCTCTTTCAGTCGTTCGGGATCCATTCCGAGTTCACGAAGCTCAGCTGCTTCGTCATCTTCATCGCCGTCCAACTTTAATTCCACAACCTCGTCCAGATCAATCACTTGATCTCGACCCATCGGCCCACCCTCTTCGGCTTCGGCTTCCAATCGACGGCGGCGGATAGCCTGAAACAGTAAAGCTACCTCAGTTTGCAGTTAAACAG